AGTAATTATTAAAAAGAAATCAAGAATGGGTCATTCTAACTCATCTGGTTTTAATGTTAAAGTTTCTTAGCTAACCGATACTAGCACGAAAATCGTTATTTAAATTCGTTTGTTTATTTAATTGTTACGCTTTCCCGTATAGACCTATACTACTAATCGAAATACCAAGTACTCGTTGTGTCAATCATACATAAATAGCAGTTTCCAAAGTACGGTTTTCTTCGGAGTATGTAGAGTCTTCCATTGGCTATTTAATATTTTAGGTTCGTTTCTTTTTCAATAACATACCGTTGACATTGCAATATTATTAGTTTGAACGGAAAACTTTATTGGGAAAACTCTTTTGAATTTGTAAAACTTTTCCACGAACATCCTTTTCCAGTTACCTTTTCTTTATATGAACTTGAGAGATAAGGAAATAGAAAACGATATGTTTTAGGTGGACAAACCAACTACTTTCTCTAAATAAATAATTATTTTTTCCTTAAAATCGACAAAACTTTCTGTTCGACTCGATATATTCTTTACATAGACCAATTCCCGACTGGCTACTTCTTAATCTTAGTAAATGAAATTTATTTTTGAAAGCAAACATACTTTTCTTTTTATGTAACAAATTAGAAGCCACTCCGAGATACTGTGATATGATGAATACACGAAAGTTGCCTAACCAACGCAATGTATTCGTGACTCCCAACTTTTTCAACGCGATTCTATTTTACTTGTCGCGTTCACATAATTAAAGTGACGCCCTCATAAAATATCAATTAAATAATAAATTAACTTCGGTCACGCGGAGTTCTACTGTGTATGTCGATAATTGCAAAGAAAACCATACGACGAAACGATGACTACGAAATTTCAAGCAAGTACAACCTCATCATTACCATTCGTCCTTTATGTTTAAAATACCTATATCTTATATAAGTATCTACTGTTTTTATACGTAACTTTCAACAGCGTTCCAGCAGTCCATTCATACACGCATTATAAATTGAGACGATAAAGTAAATTAAATGAAACCACCTATATTTTACATAAGTATCTACCGTTTTTATACGTAACTGTCAACAGCGTTCCAACAGTCCATTCATACACGTATTATAAATTGAGACGATGAACTAAATTAAGTGAAACCATCCATATTTGACATAAGTATCTACCGTTTTAATACGTAACTTTCAACAACGTTGCAGCAGTCCATTCGTACACGTATTATAAATTGAGACGATAAACTAAATTAAGTGAAACCACCAACAAACCGTTGCACTTCCATAAATACACGTATACCACCAACAGGTGTAAGCGATGATATAAGTGATGACATAAATGGCAAAGCCGGTTCAAAGAAATACGCAGCGAATTCCCGTGAAATCAATTACGGAACGCGAAGAGCGAAAAATGAAATCAACTTCAGCGTTTATTTAACAGAGTTTAGATAGCGTAGACTTAAGAACGTGTAAATTGAAACTTTGGTTCGTTCGCTCGTAGTATCGCACTCGCTATGGGTGGGCTAATGGTAATTACGGGTTTAGACTCTGCGATCCGATTGACTGGGCGGGGAGATCGTATCTACGGATGAGTGCGGAATGAGTATCGGTCGCATTAATAACGGGCTCGTGGTATAGCTTTCGTATCCAAGCATAATAATCTACCGTTGACTAGGCGTGGAACTCTTTTCGTATCTTAATGGTAGCGCTTTTGTAGTTGCTCCACGTCTACCTTATGAACTCGTAATCCTGTAATCATAGTTGTATGATTGACAAGCGCGACTATGTGCTGTCCATCAGGCCCGCTACATATACGTAACATGTACACCATAGTAACGAACACACTGATCAGTATTTCAAATTCAAAATAATAGGAATACCTAAGTGAATTTGGTAGAATTTTAATTGCATGGTTTGAGAGAACAATACCTAATGCAACACTCGGTTATTGAAATGATCCGCATACTTAACTGCGATTAGGCGTAACACGTTCTATAGTATGTAAGAATACAGGCATTTTGAAGGTTCATCATATTTTCCTAATTATCTCGGATGATCAAAAATACATGTAAAGGCTACAGCTATATTAAGAATCATATATGAACATATCAAATAACTATTTTGGAAGTTTAGAGCATTTCCCTACAGTAAAAAGTAATAAATGAGACGAATATCTGAAATATGCCTTTACCTGTTAACTGTGGAACGGAATTTCAAAAATTTCTGATAATGCTCGCAATGAAATCAAATAAGAAGTGTATAATCGTCAAACGCGGGCCAAATTCACATATAATATATTCTAACGAAAAGGTAAAGCAAAACGAAGGAGAATTACATGTTTATCTGAAAAAATAAGTAATTTATCGTTAAAGGAAGTAGTATAATTTTGATTTAATGGCGTGTACACTGGTCAAACGCAGTTAACTGATTAAAGAAAGCTGTAGAACATACATATTATCTTGAAATTACGTAGGTTTATTATTCTATATTTCAAAAGCTCATAGGATTTATTAAATAAAAATACACGTTTAGCCCGAAGCTACAGCAGTTCTATGAAAGCATCCCGTCAAAATTATGACATGAATGATAACGGTTGTTTAGTTAAAAGCAAAAGAACTGTGACAAAGGGACTCTTAACACTAGGTTTACGGGCATTTATTGTACACTTGATTCTATTATTCCTAAAAGAATTGATGCTCGTTTATTTAGATTGTGGAAACCGGAGATTTGATAACAGGTAATTGGGGTACATGTCAGTGTGATCGCATCAATCAAAATCAGCGTAAACATTTACAAAATAATATTTCTAAAATCCAATATGCGACAATTTGACGCGTTCCGTAAACCTGGTGTTAATATGAAAAGTCAAGGTTATTGTATAAATTGCATCAATGAAAAAATTAAAAAATTTAAATACTACTTCATTTTCTTTAATCTATCAATCTTATATACATTACCTACGTTCTATTTCCACACTTCAGACATTTGACAATAACTTTATTTTATAATAAAATAATACGAAAAATTTCTGTTGCGCTCAAAGTTCGTTTTCAAGCTTTGTTGATTTTGCTTTGACATGCCTTCTTTAAAGGCATTTTCATGTTCTCCGTTTAAAGTAAACTTAGTAAGTAACTTATAAATGGATTCTGATGCAAGCATTATACAAGTGCGTAATTGACACTTCTTACCGAGCATCAACTAGTCCAATTTCCGCCTATGTGTTATCCCACTTGACCCCTTCCTTATAATAGCGCGTCAGCCTCGTGGTAAGAATTTCAAACGTGAATATTACCCGATTGTTCTAATTCAAAACATACATTATTTTTTGTTATCAATTATTACACGTTATAACAAAGGTAAACATAGAATGTGTTTAGAATTATTCTCTTTTCTTCAATAAATTCTTAATGTCAAAGCAGTTGTATCGATCATAATTGGGAAAAAAATCATAGGGTTAAAAACCTGTATCTTACTTACAAGGAAAGGTATCGAACCGGAATTTAAAAAAAAATTGTATTTTGCAATTTCATAGACATGAAAGACAATGTATTTTTTTGTTAAACCTTTTTCTGCTATCTATTATCATTTTCAGGATAATTATGGCAAAGAAAAATTTGCATCTTTTCAAGGCGTGCTTTTACCACTTCGTGAAATTCAAAGTTTCATAATTTTTTAATTTGATACCTTTCCATGTAAGTAACTTTTTCAAATTCATATACAAGTAACAGATAAAATTCTAATAAAAAAAAACCGTTTTTCTAAGCCGTCATAGTAGAAAGGTTCCCTAAACAATGTGGAATGGAGGGTATTTTTTTAGTTTTCTATAAATAAAGAAAAAGAAGTTTTAACAAAGAGCTTTTAAAAAGGATGAGCGAAAACAAATTCAATTGCGTTCAAAGATAGATCTTATAAAAATTAGAATATTTCTTGGAAATATCTT